AACTCACTTTGACTCTAAAGATGACTACTGCACAGGCTGTCAGAACATCAGTCAATGTCAACAACAGACCTCTTAAGGACTAAGTTCACCCGGATGATCATACTCAACCGACTTATGAGGTGACTTCTGGGTTCAAACTTTTCACAGTTTAATATTATAACTGTAATCACCACAAATATAAAAAAAATTCTCTAACTGAATGGCAATCAATAGCCCTGATTTCAGCATCAATAAGATAGTGCAGTAGGCCAGTATGCCATTGTTGCAAAAGGAAACGATTGTTTCAAGAAATTTTTCAATTCAACCACTAGCACAATTTCAGAGCTCCAGGTTAGTCAAGTTAATCTACCTGGCTCAGCTGCCAGGTAAGCTCAGAATCGTTTGACATTACAAAATGAACACCCTATTATTCATTTTCTTGCTTGCACACACGTATACACTGCTTGTTTGCATTTGAAGAAAGTATTTGAAACGGTATTAAACGGTATTAGGAGAAGCTCGATAGAGATATCCTTGAAGACATACTCATTTAACTTGGTCTTGTTTTGATCTTACGCGTAAAGCTGCCTGTGCATAAGCTATGCTGTGTTTGCGATCCGTTTTGTTTAATGTCAAGGTAAAATTATCCAGAAATCAGTGATGGGTGAATCCACTGTTTTCTGCTTCGGGAGACGCGATCCCCAACTTGATTCTCGCAAAAATGGCTGCTGGATAAATATTCCTTTGCTGAAATTTAAATTAACCTGACTAGCCTTGCTCTTAACTCTAAAATTCAAAAGAATACCTCAAGATTATAAATCTAGCAGCCAGGTTTTCCTTTCTCAACTCTCATTTTGTGCAGGAAATGAGAATCGAGGAAGGAGAATGAAGCTGAGAATCACGACTAACATTGAACTGTCAACAAACTTTAAAACAGTACTTTACCTGTCTCGCCCTGAGCTGGTCCTCATCAGGAGGAACCTTCACAAGCCATGACAAGAAACAACGATCATTGATCAGTGGTTGCCACTGGGCTTGATCCCTGAATGATTGGACAGAAAATTAGCAGGTAATTTCAAGAAACATGGACAAAAAGGTGTACTATAGTGAAAAATGGAAGCAGAAAGCTTGTCCTTACCAATTCATATCCTTGGAGTTACTCTGGGTTGCACAAGGTTGCCTAAAGGATGGTTATACAAAATACATGGATAAGTTAAAGTCAAACACATGAGAGCCGAAGCATAAGTAACTGAAAATGTTAACAATTAGCTTTTCAACTAGAGGGGTTATGTACATTTTGTACTGCTGATGAAGTGTCAGAGGACAGGGCCTAGCATGCTACTTTGGCCCTGTCTGTGAGAATGTTGTCCAGTGCAATCAACAATTCAAGGGATGCCAGAAGAAAAGCCCCAAGTGACTTCTGACAAATTTGACACATAGTTCTCTTTTCCAAATTGCCTTGCTTTCATATATTCACTAAAGGAAGAGCCACCAAGTCTGTTAATACTCCTTTAATATTGTTTCAGAGAAAATCTGCTGCCTTGGTAGTCCCTTGATTGTATACTGACCTACATAAGAGTACCACAACAGAATCAGCCTTGGCTGGGATAAAACCAAGCAGAAACACATTGCGACAGGCACAGTTGTAACACTCTAGGATTGTCTCTCCCAAGGGGCCATCTTTGTGCAGTGTCACCTCTTTGTGTTTGGCCCTGACCAAGTGGTTAACAATATGGCTGTCAAGGCAAAGGAAATAAGTAACTATTAATGGTCCATGCTTTATTTTTTAATAAAATCTCCTTCTTGGTAGCAGTTATGCATACAACAACTCAGAGGAAACTGTACTGATCAATTCAATGACAATTACTAAGACAAGGAGTCAAAACTAAACTTTTGAGGCCTCACTAGCCTCGCTCTTGAACAGCAAGACTCGGGCCGGTCGAGTGGTCTGCCTTATTTGCATTTGGTGTATAAAACACTCAATAACTGTATTATAAGAAGGAAGACTAAAAATTTTTCAAGCCACATGCCCCAAAGAAAAGGGAAGGAAGCCTTGGGCACTTAAACGTCAGGGCCCGCTTCTTTGAAAGATGGTTTAGTTCAACTAAAGATTAAGCCAAATTTTAAGCACAGTTTTCTTGTCTAAGAACATGTAACTCAAGCTTATGCAACGCTGTTGAGCCTGAGATACAGTAATGATAACACAAAATGTTACTCTAAGGATGCATAGGAAGGTAAACGCAAAGAGTGGAACAAAATTTTAATCCTGGATTAGTGCTAATTGGCCTTTCAGGACCCGGGCCCAGGAGTCAAGTTATGGACTAACAAGTTTTTAATTACAGACAACCAAGGGAAAATTGGCCAACTTAATGGCAATGTTTTTCTGCCTTAGGGATTGTCTGTAGGTCTTAAAGAAAGTGGTGTTTGCGATGAAAAAATCGAATTTGACAATTTATTTTTTAATATTAACAAATGAAAACAAATAATAACATTGCCTACCTTCCTGCAGTATTTCCTCGACCATTACAAAACCATTTCTTACACTGAATACACTGAACAACAGATGCAGGGTCATGGACTCCACAGTACCTGAAAATAGTAAGTTTAAACACTTGTTTACCTTACGATTTGAGAATATCTACTTACATACATGAAACAGCAGAGAATTGTCAGANGGAGTCAAAACTAAACTTTTGAGGCCTCACTAGCCTCGCTCTTGAACAGCAAGACTCGGGCCGGTCGAGTGGTCTGCCTTATTTGCATTTGGTGTATAAAACACTCAATAACTGTATTATAAGAAGGAAGACTAAAAATTTTTCAAGCCACATGCCCCAAAGAAAAGGGAAGGAAGCCTTGGGCACTTAAACGTCAGGGCCCGCTTCTTTGAAAGATGGTTTAGTTCAACTAAAGATTAAGCCAAATTTTAAGCACAGTTTTCTTGTCTAAGAACATGTAACTCAAGCTTATGCAACGCTGTTGAGCCTGAGATACAGTAATGATAACACAAAATGTTACTCTAAGGATGCATAGGAAGGTAAACGCAAAGAGTGGAACAAAATTTTAATCCTGGATTAGTGCTAATTGGCCTTTCAGGACCCGGGCCCAGGAGTCAAGTTATGGACTAACAAGTTTTTAATTACAGACAACCAAGGGAAAATTGGCCAACTTAATGGCAATGTTTTTCTGCCTTAGGGATTGTCTGTAGGTCTTAAAGAAAGTGGTGTTTGCGATGAAAAAATCGAATTTGACAATTTATTTTTTAATATTAACAAATGAAAACAAATAATAACATTGCCTACCTTCCTGCAGTATTTCCTCGACCATTACAAAACCATTTCTTACACTGAATACACTGAACAACAGATGCAGGGTCATGGACTCCACAGTACCTGAAAATAGTTTAAACACTTGTTTACCTTACGATCTGAGAATATCTACTTACATACATGAAACAGCAGAGAATTGTCAGAATCTTTAAGCCACAACACCACTTCCACGGACTTAACCAGAACAAGAAAACTGTTTCCCACTCCATAACTCAAAGTTTTTGAAGATGGCAAAATCACAGCTCACTCCATACCGTTCAAGAGCAATTTGAAGGAAATAGGAATACCAAATGGGATTAGAACTTTGAAAAAGTCTCTACTTCTTGTACTTTTGAGGAAGGTCCTTGAAGTCTAAGGTCTTGGGATAGGACCAGACTCAAAGCATAAATTTTATTGGCTCCAAGACAATAAATAACTGTGCAAATTAGAGATGACAATAATACTATTAATAATTATTATTATAATAACAACGATGATAATAATGAATAATAATAATAATAATAATAATAATAATAATAACAATAATGTAACTCAAGTAAATAATAAAAATATAAACAAAAATATAATAATACTTAGTTACATAATAAGCTTACCAATTATGATATTGTATATTGCAAAGTAGAAATGCTCTATCAGTGAAAAAACAATCTCCATCAAAAGCGTTATGACACTACGGTCATTTTATAAGTTTATAACTTTTTTCAATCCTATTGAACTAAAAAATAATACAAGTAAAAGAGTTTTTCCTACGACGTCTTTGCTGAGTAAGGATGAAATTTTGCTCAAGGACAGCGTCATTACAAAGGTTAAAACTGAAAACTTCGAGAAATTTTCACAATAAGGAGGTACGTAAACCTCACCTCAATTTCCAGCAATTTCTAACTTACCGAAAACACGCCCTGTGGTTTAAACTTTCATACATATATCTAATTTGAAAAGCCTCATTTTACCCACTAAAAATCCAAATAACTGCTTTCAAAATTAGCACACCTGCATGCGTAGGCTGGAAGATCTTTCGTGTAATAGGTTTCATCTTCATCTTCCTCGAAGTTGAGCTCACCCAACGAGTTGCTAACCTTTGCAACTCCACCATCTACCTTTGAATCATCATTCACTGCTACTGGGCCATTGCTGAGCTCTTCCTTCTCGTCTACGACATTTCCGTTGACTAAAGGTTGACTACTTTCAGGCTGTGAAGCTTGCGACTGAGTTTGCGTTTGTGATGGGACAGTGAAATCGTGAAATTCGTACTCGCTTCCCTGTGTATCTGCGCCGAAATCTGCTTCTTCAGTGTCTAAAAAAGTAAGAGTTTGAGAAGCAGGTCCATATGAGTCTACCGTGCTCATCTTAAGTTGGAAGAAACGTTACAAATCAGTTGCTTTCGCTAGTTAAACCGAAACACAGAACAGTTGAGAACGTGGCCAAAATGGCGACCGGAGCCACGCGATTCCTGTTTCGCAATACTTTCGCTAAAGATCGGTAACTCTCGGTGAATCCGATAAAGTTTCGAACATTCCCGAATACTTGTCGATGTGAAAGATTCGGAAAACATTCCCGTCGTTCATTTCGTATCAAACATGGCGGCCGGTTTGGTTGCCGGTCGCGTTCGTTTATGAGTTTCCAGGTCTCGTGCAGGCGTGCAAGTGAGCGATTGTCTAGACTATATATTTCCTAAGGCGTTTCTGAAATAGTAAGATGGCTCGTAGTCGTCGAGCCTTAAAGTCGCTTATTGAAGGTCCAGAATTCAGCTTTCGTAACATTGTGAGGTCCTACACTGCTCGCTTTTTCTGCGAACATCCCTCGCCAAGGCTTTCAGCAAAGCCCGCAATACCTCCGTTCGGAGTTTTGCTCGATATCGATGGAGTTCTTGTTAGAGGCCGGAAACCTATTCCGGGAGCAAGGGAAGCACTAGAAATGCTCCGACAGTCAGAAGTCCCAACGGTGTTTTTGACGAACGGTGGTTGTGAATCGGAGAAGGAAGCTGCTGAACGACTTTCTGACAAGATCGGCTTTGAGGTTAGGTAATTCCTGTTGTTCTAATTTTTTAACTTGGTAGCGGTTCCACAACAAATTAAGGATTTATGCCTCAATCCTAAACTTCCAAATTGTCTCTAACCTCTCCCCACCCTCCCCCATGTTACCACAATTCTTTGTTTGCAACCACGTGACAGACCGAATACAAAAAGAGTTTAGTTGTTCTTGTCAATCAAAGAGTGAGATGAAACTATTAAAAAAGTTGCTTGTCCTTTAGGCAAGCTGTTGCTGAAGTTTACTAGCCTGGAGCAGTTGTGCAGGCCTACCAACCTCCACTTTCCCACTTATTCTATCTCAGAAAATGTTTCTTGCCTGTGAATATTAAGAGATGCTAGCTTGACAAAATACCTGTTAGAATCCCTCTTGATGTGCTCTTTTGTGTGTCTTAATTGTCTTTTAATGCCCTGACCTCTATATTCATAAAAGTTTGAAACCTTCAATGCCATCTAGCCAGAAAATTTTTCATCTCACCCGGGATTCTGGGACCTTTCTTCAAATAAAGGAAATGCTCTTGCAGGCTACTATATCAATGTTTTAAAATAAGTTACCCTTGGTTACGGTCTATTACAGTCGAACTTCCCATCAGCAACCACCCAAACTGCAAAGACTGACTGGTAGCTTACAGGAGGTGGTCGTTTACTAGAATCGAACCGCAGGGGTTTGTCCAGGCACATCTACTTTATGGAAGATAATTTATTGCTTGCAATGTCTAAGTTAGGATATGTGTAATTCCATGTTGTCTCTAAAGTTCTTTGTCTATTCTAAGTAACACAGTACACGCAGCGAAAATGGAGATCAGAGAATGCATCAATTATTGCTTGCTTACAAGAGGTTAAAAACAATGAAAAATCATTAACCATCAGGCCCAAAAAGTGGTCACGATCACTTATAGGAGGTGGTCATTTACTAGAGGTTTGACCAACTGTAAGGCTTTGACTGGGAAAGTTTTGGTGTTTGAGATAGGGGGACACTTACGGTAAGTGGTCACACATGGAGGTTTGACTGTATATATAGCGAGGTACATGTTAGGTGGATGATAGACAATACAAACATGTAGGAGTAAGTTATACTAATGGTACTCCCATCTGTGTGTATAATGTATTATATAACTATACTATGTTAAGGATCAAAATTAAATTCAGGCTGAAATTATTTTGTTAAACCTAGGTTAATTCTCAATTTCCTCTGTCTCCTAGCCCTAATTATTCATGAATAGGAATCAACCTAGGACAAAGAATTTTAATCTGGGTTTAATTTTGACCTGAAACATATACAGTCTCTAAATCATTTTGTTCGTTGCTTTTTCTTTTGGTTTGGAAGAAGCCAATAGCCTTCTATACTGAGAACTGTTGATAACCTCCCTAAATGGTTTATTTTGTAGGTCAGAGAGGAGCAGATGGTTCTGTCACATACTCCTCTAAAGATGTTTGATTGGTTACACAACAAGCATGTGTTGGTGTCTGGACAGCTAAACATTAAAGAGATTGTTAAAGGGTATCCTTGTATATTCTACTCATTATATATCCAAAAGATAATTTATTAAACTAAAGGCTGTTACTGGGAACTTAATCAAAAAAGTGAAAAACATCTTTAGGTGGATGCAAGTTCAAGAAAGCCTTTAACTAAATTTATTTTTAAAAAGCAAGTTAATTTTAAGTTGCTTATAATATTATACCAGAAAAACATCAATAGGCCTCTCCCTCTAATGATGTGTTCTAGTGATTAGAAGCATTATGAAAAATTTGTTACATTTATTTTGCTATGCCACTGAACAATTTCCTGACAATGTTTTAACATTCTTGTTAACAAAATAATTTATTTTCATGGATTTTTGTGGAAGTGAAAGTGAAAGTGAAAGTTTCTTCTCGTACCTGCTGAGCAATTAAGAGCCTGAGAACTCTGTATAAAAAAATATTTTATTAAAAGACCTTTTAACCATTTTATTTCTTTTTCTGCTAAAATAATGGAGCATGTTTAGGCTGATGGTCCAAAGTTTCTATAGTGGACTCTCTCTTAACGGCCACCTCTAAAAGATAGACACTTTGGTAAAACAGACACCTAGAGTTGGTCCCTCCTTTTCTTTGCTGCCTTTATTTGACTTTCTAAAAGACAGACATCATTCTTAGACAGATAATTGGTGCCATTCCAAAAGGTGTCTGTCTTAGAGAGAGTTACATGTATATGTTCTGTTGTGGTGCAATTTTATCCTTGGTTTAAATTTTATTTTCCTTTGTTTCAACTCATTATTGTACATTACCATGCCCCAAAACAAAGGAAAATAAAATTTAAATTAAGGATAAAATTGAACCACAACATATACATATAACAGTCATGTTTTACCCCCAGTCATAGTCTTTCTATAGCCAGCAGTTTGAACTAATGATCTCCAGGTTGTTGAAACTTAAAACATAGATAACTAGCTGCTTCTGCACAATGTTTACATGCCGAAAGATTGTTTTCCCTTGATTATGAACAACAGATATGGATTTAGGAGTGTTTCAGATATAGAAGATATCAGAAGAGCTTATCCTTTGCTAGATATGGTTGACAGAGAGAGGAGATTTAAACCTGTGAGAGTATAATCTTTTGTATTTTGTGACCTTTGGGGATTTTAATAATATTTAAATATTACCATCCTCCAGTCTAGCTGCATGCATGGAGAATTTTTTCTTGATACATAACTGAACCTTTGATTACTGGACTTGTATGTGATGTGATTACCTGGAAAACATACATCACAATAGCAGTCTTAGACAATATTCGCAAAAAATAAAACAGACAAAGACAAAACAAAAATCGTAAACTTGAACTGACCATTATACATTTTATAAGGTGCTGCCTTTCAGGGTAGCATGTTTCAATGGGCAAGTTAAGTAACATCATAGGGTAGTTGGAAGGCCAGCACCACTTCTCCAGGCTAGTAAACTTCAGCAACAGCTTGCCCAAAAATTAATGGCAAGTAATTTTTTAAATTTTCATCTCACCCCAGTGAGGCATACTCTTTTTTCTTCTTGAATTTTGTTTGCTGACTATTTGAAAGAGTTTTTTTCTTTTTGTTACCAGATTACCCAATTTGTAAGACAAATGTCAAAACAAACGATTTAACAAATTTGATTCAAATTACTGTGCAGTGGGAAATTATTTTCTTTCATAATGTTTTCGTTTGCTTTCTGATTTATTCAGCTAGGTACCCCACCTGAGGAATTGCCACCCATTGAAGGTACGAAGAGTTGGAATAATGGCCCTTCACCATGTTGGGTAGAAAAATACCTTTACAGTCTAGTCTAAATACAATGAAGTGAATGTTTCTCTCTCTCAAGAAAAACTGCTGTTTGAATATTATTAATGTCAGTTCAAATATCAGATTTGCCAAATTTACGCATATTGAAACCATGGTGAAATCACGCAACTGACATGTGAAAAATATACTGTGGAAGCTCTTTTTAGCAGGCACCCTCAGGACGTTAAAGAGTGTTTGTTACTGGAGCTGGCTACTTACAGGAAGTGGCCAACTACAACTAAACACTGGAAATGTAAAAAAAAACCTGTTTGTTAGTGTTTGGCTATAACTTTTGTTCTGACAAGGTTGTAGTTCAGTCACAAGCATGAAAGCAGTGTTTTGAAGTGTAACCAGATGTGTATGTATAATTATGTAACAGCCTTATACGTAAACACAGCTGTGTCTTATAAATCAAACATAACAAAAAATTATTATTGCTGGCCTTATATTTCAATTCTATATTTATTTGAAAAGAGCATAAGCTGTGATTCAGATTTCCTCAGAATTTTAGTGTCTGACATGGTTGCCATGCCAGGAAAAGAGGTTCCGTGATACATGTATTTCTAGTTTATTAAAATACAAAATTCAGAGGCATATGAGATTTCATTTCAGTTGTCCACTGTAGGGAACTTAAAAAGAAAGCTATAATCTTTCTCATAAACCCTGAAGTGTCCTCAGCCACCTACGAAAATTGACCCCTTGTGAAAATGGGAAAAAGACGAGTTTGTAGGGGAGTTGAAACAGGGTTTTGTGAAGGCAGCCATAAGTATAGCTGTCTTCCTACAATTGTCAGTTAAGAGAGCTTCCACTGTATCTTGGTACTGGTCGGCTGTTAAGACAAATTCAACATGGTTGATCACTTCATCACATGTTTCAGCAAATTGGAAATCATTTTTTTGGCTATTTAAGTGAATGCATTTGGCCACGGAGCCTACAAAATTTAAGGGAGAATACTGCCATTTCCATAATGTGTGACAAAACTGCTAAACAAGTTGCATTTCAATATTAATACCACAGGATCTTTCCTGTTTACTTTCTTGTAGCCATACTCTTGCTTGGAGAACCAGTGCGATGGGAGACACATCTTCAGTTGATCATTGACATCCTTGTCACTAATGGAAACCTGCTGTCAATTTCCCAGTCTCCATGCAAAAAACGTATTCCAGTTATAGCAGCTAATACTGATCTTATCTATATGTCAGAAGTTCCTTTACCAAGGTATGATGATGCCCCCCCCCCCCTCCAAATTAAAGATGGGGAAACGGCATGTTTTGACCTTCTGATTTTAAGGGAAAGGGGCATTTGCTCTTCCATTTTATTCTGTCCAAAAATGTATTGCCAATATTTTCCCTAATCTATAAAACATCATATATTGCACAAAATTATTGGGGTTTCAGACAACATTGCCACTTTTTCTGGCCCCGTGGGTGTGCCCCTACTGTTACAGAGGTTTAGACTAAATTATTGATACAGAACATCACTTTATTATTATAGTTGTGGTAAACTAGCCTGCATTCATATGCATTATATTGTCTTATAGATTTGGACATGGTGCCTTTCTCTTAAACCTGGAGGTTCTTTACAAGGTACTAGACATATAAAATATTATTTTCAAACTTAATAGTGTCCCACACTTGTTTAATAAGTGAAACAGTTGAGCCACTAGTAATGGATTATACCTTGCTTTCAGTACAGTGAAAATAAATTCAAACAGATTGAAGAAAAAACTAATGCCATGCATCTCTACTTATTTTTATAGGTTAATACCCCATTTTATTATTAGACAAAAGACATATATAGAAAAGTATAGCAGCAACTCACCTTTTTTACAGCTTGTGTACAATATGACATGAAATATTTATGCTTCATTCTTCTGCATCATACTGTTTGGTTTATAAAACATTATTTAGGGGGTTTTGTCTTTGTAATAGAGTAATACTTGATATTGCTTTTGTTTTTGTTATTGTTTTTTAATCAGAAATTGACTGGACAAGAATTGGTTTACGCAGAATTTTTGGGTAAACCTTTCATTTCAAGTTACAAGTATGCAGAACATTGCCTCTATCAAAGCAGTGGAAGTAGCCGTGGGCAAATAAAATCACTTTATGCTGTTGGGTAAGTAAAGAATAAGCTCAGGCATAAAAGGCTCTACAACTTTTAGGTCAGTCATTGAAATGAAGTGTAACATAGAGGACTGCTTTGAGAAAATCTCTGACCCCCAAGATTGTGTTTTTGATATTTTAGGTAGGTAGAGACTGAGGTAGATACATGTAGGTTTGGCATGGTGGTAATATTATATAAGAAGAACTCAAATTAAGATTTATGGTACAAATGCTTGATAGCTGATCACTCACAACTCCATCTGTTTAGTGTTTCTTAGGGCTTCAGTATATTGGCTTTCAGTATTTGTGGGACTTTTTTTAAATCACAATGCCTAACTCCTCCCCCACCCCAAAAACACTGTTTGACACATGTATCCCAAAGTTTTCCCAAGTTCAAACTCATGTGGTTTCAACATTATTAAAGTGGGAAGCGGAGAAAGAACTGCAACGTATTTTCCAAAAGGGAGCAATATTTTATGGGGAACACCTAAAAATTACAGATTATTACAAATATTGCATCACTGACCCAAAGACTTTTGTCCAATTTTGTGTATCTACCACTGGTTTTGCAATGAAATGACGTGTGAGAAAGAAACACAGAAATTCTATACTGATGCCAAGTGACTACCCAGATCTGGGTAGTGCTTCTGATTGACTGAAGCAAATTTCCCACACTGTACGACCAATCAGAAGCATAACCCAGATGGATAGTGAAGCATCATCAGTATGAAATTTTTGCACTCATTTCTTAGATGTCTTCTCGCAGGAGAACCAGTGGTGACATTGCAAAATGTCAGCTGTTTTCTCAAGCTGGATTGAAGTCACAATCCAGTCACTGTTCACCTGACCAAACAACCCTTAGCAGTTTTAATAGGCCATTTGCATGATGACATCATTTTACTACTACAACCAGAATCCTTCAGTGTTATGCTTTCTTGCGCAAATTAGGTCTTTTGTTATTTAAACCTCGCTGGGATTACAAAAATTAAATACGAAAGGAAAAACGAAAAGGATTGTGGTCGTAGTAGAAAAACGACGCCATCATGCAAATGGCCTATTATTTTATTGATCTCTAACATCTGCTTCTCGTTCTGTTAGTCAGTAAACTGCGTTGCCTAAGTCTCTTTTGATACGATGAACACTTACTATAGAAAATTTTGTCCACATTTTGCAGTGATAACTTGGACACAGATATTTATGGAGCCAATATGTGTAATGAGTATCTAAAGGCATTTCACGAATCCAGTGGTTCAGGTACTGAAAATCAACTTAGAGACCTCACTAGCCACCAGGAAAAACATAGTGCAGTTGAATGGTCGCCAGAGGTAAAGAGCATTGAGTCTATTTTAGTTCAAACTGGAGTATCTTTACCAAGTGATAATAATCTCACAACCAATGAAGGAGCTCGATATCTTCATCGAGATTTAGATTTTCAACCTCGATTCAGAAGAGCTAAACATGTTGTAGAAAACATTGCAGATGCAGTTGAACTGATCTTGAAACAAGAACAAGAATGTTCTTAACACTTGATAAGTTCATTTTAGAATTTGTACAGTCTGCAGTTTGCCCATCATTCTTCCAATTCTTTAATGGTTCCTGAGTATCTCAGCACACTAAAAACTTCAGGTTATGATGTGGCATGAATGGAAAAACCATTAGTTATCTAGATTCCTGGTTTGTATTATAAAAATAATAGTATTTTCAATTTTTTTAGCTTATTCAAGTTATTGCACGGTCAAAATATACCCAGACAGTAAATTTATATGAATTTTGTATTTCATTCGTATTACAACAGTATTTATGATAATGTTATTGATGCTTCACCACAGACAAAATCAATGAGTTAGTTTTTCAAGAATTGTCTTTAATGTCAACTAACAACTCTAGGTCATCCAGCAATAAGGAATTAATAATGTTATGAATAACTCAGTACAAGCATCTTGTAAAAGCCTAATTCCCCTGCTTTTTCACCCTTTTTTTGTTTGATGTTTTATCATAAGTCCTTTTTTTGTTTCTGCTAACTTTTCAATCTGAGATTATATGATATGTAAGAGTTAACGATAAAAAAATAACTAATTTTGTCTCTCCCTCTTCTTCATTAATGAGAAATGTGGATTGCTTTTCACAACCTTGTTCCCAGGTTCTCTCTCATACCCGTCGAGAGTGTATCTCTCTCTCTCTCTCTCGCTCCGTAGGGATGGGTAGGAGAGAACCCTGGGAACATGGTTGGGCTTTTCATACCTTTGATCTGCAACTGTTATAGTGTAAAAATACCACCAATAACATAACTAAGGCAATGGTCATGCAAATGAAGCTGAATTATTGAAGATTTTATAGGATAGATGTAGTCAAACCTCGAACAGTTTACTGTGTTGCTGGGGAAAGAAACTCATACATTTTCCCCAAATTCAACCCACTTTATATGGATACACTGTTAATATGGACTTTTTCTATGGCCCCCTCAGTGTCTGTATTAACAGGGTTTGACTGTATTTAAAATGACAACTTACTTATGATAATCTCCTTTATTAAGGGATAGAAGACAATAATTAGTTAGTAATCAATGTAATAATTAAAATCTAATCTTATTATTTTATTATGCAGTAATTGAGTGATCAAATATTCTTTGCTTATAGCAGCCATAAAAATAATTAATTTTTAAGTTGATTTGTTGTTTGATAATAAAAAAAAAGATCTAGTCAAACCTCACCCAGACTAGTAGCCCCTCATGAAATTAGCTTGCCTTACTAACCTTGAGGAAAATGTGAGACTACTCGCAGTCTAAACGATTGAGATACCTCTTTATTTTGGATAGCTCTCTTCGTCCCAAAGTTTCCAATCTTCATACAATTCCTACCGCTTTTATACAGACACATCTGTAATGCCAACACTTAGCTCTTCCCTGTTCATGAACCTATTTTTACCTTTACTAAGAGTTATCCCTGCATCTTATTTCTTACTATAACGTTTCTTAAACAACTTGCAAAGGACATGAGACTTTGGGAAATGATTGCCTAGTTAAAAGAGTCGTGATTGTTAAGCAAGTTCTCCTCATAGCTGCAATAGCTGCTTTATGGAGAATAGTTGGGAGAATATGCTTGCTGATATTAGATTTCAGAGAATTCACTCACAGAGACCCACAGAGGAGGGTATAATAGAGGTTAAGTGAAGCGTTTAATCAAACAATCTTAGGGCTAAGAGGTATTGTATGAATGGTGACTCCATAGGATTTTACTGAAATGTCTTAAAATCTCATGTTATGTCTTAAGTATTAATCTCTGAAATGAAAAAATAATATTATTTTCTCTAACTTATGTAATATTATTATTGTACTGGAAAACATTTTGTCATAATCTACGGTAGATTTTAGCATCATTGCTCTTTGCTACTCAGTAATGTATGATTGTATTGGTTGTCAGTTGTAATGATTAGTATCGACAAGTGACACTATTGTCGTGTGTGAATAAAGTATTGTTTCCAACTGGAACAGCTGCTAGCTACAACCGGCTCCAGGATAAAATCTGCTGCATCATATGGACCATAAACTAACAATCAGAGAAAGAACACTTGGGACTTCGACAAAACCCCGCCCATTGTTCCATTTTGGTCTTGATAAAAACAACTGAGAACAACACATTTGTTCAGGAACAAACTATTTCATTACTGAGGGAAGCGTTAGAGACTATACCAAAACAAACTTCCTTTGTTTTTTTTAATATGACTATCACAAAGCCAAAAGAAGAAATATCTATTTTTGAAACTCAAGCTATTGAAGAGAATTCCTGCAAAATAAATCGCACACACCCGCGCCTTGACAGAAATAGAATGATCTTCCTCCCCAAAATAGAAGGGCTGGGCCTTTCTAAGATAAACAAACCTCAGTTTCCTTCGCAGCCGTGATGTCCTTTCTGAAGATTTGCGTGACAATGGAGGTTTGGAGGAATTCGACATGCATGCAATGGCTCGTTGCGTGACAACCCACTAGACCAAGACAGTCTTAGACATCTCTCAGAAAATCGGGTGAAAATTGGATTTCTTTTGTCAACAAGTATGCACGTAACAGCAAAAGATCTCTGAGTCCACAGCACTTTATTTCTGGTCGAGGTGATTTATCTAGCACGTTTCTATTGCTGCAACTTTTAGATCATTTCGTGGGTGCTTCTTGTATCATTTAAGACTAAACATAAACATAAAAACATGTTAACAGGCTTTTATTCTTTTTTCTTTTCTTTTTTTTCCTTGGTTGTCTGGCGCTATCTTTTTTTTTTGGTGTCTGCCGGGACGTTTCAGACAAAAGCCACCTTATTAACTTCTTATCTTGATATTTAAAAACCAAATTTCTGTCATCGCTCGTGTCTTAGACTCAGCTGTGAAGGGGTTTAGTCTCGTCCAGCTTGCATCCACTTCACAGCTCCTGTATCAAATCTTTTTTTTTTGCCCTTCACACCCATGAAACCTTTTTTTCTCCGTTTTCATCAAGCTTTCTTTTCGTAGCCTTATGTGGCTGAATGAAATGCTTGGCATTTTAAGTTACAAAACGTTCAGTGCAACAACGCACGCATGAAGCTTATCAACAAGACAGTCAAATCTTGGGTTTGTATAATGCACTTAAGACCGTTTTGTCTCAAGGTATAATTATGCGGTTTTGAGTATAAATATGCGACCTTTCAAGTAAATCTACTGAGTTGGTTTACCGCGATGTTCTATGGCTAGTTCTTATAACTCGTGGCTTTGATAGTTTTTCGATTGTAGAGTAAATGGAATGTGAAGTGAATGCGGATCGCTGTTAAAACTCCGCTATTCGTGCGTGCACACCTGTGTCGTATACTAGTAGCTCGTCCTTGGAGACGCCCAAAGCGATGAATGTGCGTGATGCGCGCTCATCTCAAGCAAAACCTTCTGCACGCCTCAACCTCCTACAAAAACGACGACATCGAGTTTCTCGATGAGTTGACCGTTACCTGTGGCGTACTGATCTATACTAGCTGTGCGCCTCGTACGCTAGTAAGCGTAACGTTGCGTGCAGGTAGGATGGGTAGGTGTGTCCACTTGCCACGCGACAAAGCCATTGGGAACAACACACCCTTAAAAGCGTAACAAAAATTATTTTTGCTATTGTATTGAAATCTTTACATAAAACAGTGCCAGAAGAAAATGAGAGGCTGTACACCTGAAACACTGAAATTTTTGAACTCGCGCTTACAATCTTCTTATAGGTACACTCCGAGTGCGCGTTGATCAAACCACCGATTTTGGCACTTTGACAATTTCTTCGCGTGGCGTCGGTTTTGTGCGCGTATAGCTACTGCGTTTACACAGTACTGAGTTAAATTGAGTTGCTATTTATATCGCGGGTGAAGTATTGCTGTCAGCAGAGAGGGTTGTATCAGTTGATAACAAAGGCTTTATAACAAAGGTTACAGTTGGAAAAGATTAGCAAACCCTTGCAACTGCGGAACGGTAGATTAATATTGCATTTTTGCAAATGGAAGTGAAAAGCTTTGACCTAAAGAATTTAGTTCAAGAGGCCAGTAACAAAACATTTTGTACCGAGAAAAGGTTAATTGCCTAAACCACCAAACTCCGTGGGTCTTTAGTAGTTACTTTTCGTTTGATCGTGATTGGACGACAAAAGAATGCGGGCGCGTGCTAGCTACTGATGGATATCGTTTCTTCCACGTGTACTTTCATACATGATCGCGTTTGTGAGCTTGCAGTCTCGACAAACACCTTTGTATCTGTCGCACTATGAGCGAATTACTTTTTTGCGGTTTGTTTGCCTAGTCGCCGACACAAAAGCTCACTATAGTTTCTCTCTACGTACCGACCTACGCCAGGTGAATATCCATAAACATACTATGGCACCCGGTTGCTACGGTGTTTGTAACCTGCTAGGTAATAATGATAAACAAGTGGGCGTGATCGGTGTTGGAGCCTTTCCCTGGGGCATAAAGGCACAGTCGATTTCTTCACTAGCATCGGTAACGCTTAATATTTTAAAAGTTTTCTCTTGATCTCAATTCCCTCTGCTTTGGCTGAAACTGTAGATCCAGTTATTTGAAATCCAGTGCCGAGTTGGGTAACTAAACCCATTTTCAATTTGCTTTTGTGTTTCCTCCCTAGGGGGGGTTGCCGGCGTTTCACGCATTCATTATAGGTGTTGTCAATCTTGTTTACCGAGCAACCTGCTTGAAAAAAAAACCGCGCAATAATCTTAAGATGTTCCGCTTCAGCCTGTCCGCCTTCTTAACGGATGTTAAATAATGGATAGAGAAGAACGAAACAGAGGAAATTTGAATTTCCGACTGTTCGACCCAAGCCACTTGAAAGGTCGCGAAGATGGCAGAAGAAAAACTTCTGTGTTTGTCCATCCAAGCACGTGTACCTTTTGGTTATTTAAGTGCGCGAGCCAATAGGCGCCTTGAAATTAGCATTAATTAGCTTAGCAGGGTTTTCTTAGCCACGCCTCCTCCAGCGCGGAAACGGTTCTTTTGTTGTCATTGAACGGAAACAAAACCCACTTTCAACCTGGCCCAGCTGTTACCGTCACTCGAAAATATTCAAACTTAGGTGATACACTCAGGGATCGCTCATAATCTTCTGCGCTGGTTCGCGGCAGCATCGATCTCGAACGCAACTACGTTCATCGGGCTTTAGCCCCCATCTGATTCATTCTACCCATTTCTTTGGCTTGTTGTGAAATCGTTCCTGTCTTTAAAGAGAGGGAGTCGCCGAAAGGAAGAAAGTTCGCCGGAAATTTTCTGGGGTTGCGTGCGTCCGTCTGTACAACTAAAAGCACGGATTTGAAATGGCTGCACAAGCGTTCTTTTCCCCGAGCGTCGCGCTGGATACTCTTTCGGCCGCGCGGTGTTTGTTAGACATGTCAAAAATTTTTCCGAAGAAGCCCGCGCCGGCGTTCGTCGAAAACGCTTCCAGTTCGCCTCTGTTGATGTTTGCGAAAATCTTGGCGTCGATGGAGGAGGAGTGTTTCATGCTGGAAAAACATTCATGTGTCACGAATAAAACTAAGCCGGTGTGGAACTCAAAAGGAGGTGCACAGTTCAAGAATATTGAGCGGGAAAAATGCCCGAAGGCTGTAACTCCAATGGAAACAGAAACCGCTGGCGTTACACGACACGATTCTTATGACGACACACCCTCTGAACTTAGCTCAAAGCCAAAACAAAAACCCCGGCGTCGGAACACGCGACGAAAAGCCGAGCAGGAGAAGAAAATACACGCCTGCCACTACACTGGCTGCGATAAAAAGTACGGAAAAAGTAGCCATCTCAAAGCGCATCTTCGTACGCACACAGGAGAGCGCCCGTTCCAGTGTAATTGGACCGGCTGCGAGAAAAAGTTCGCTCGCTCCGACGAACTCGCTCGCCATTACCGTACTCACACCGGCGAAAAACGTTATGTGTGTACAATATGTAGCAAGCGCTTTATGAGAAGCGACCATCTTTCGAAGCACGCGAAAACGCACGGACAGAAGTCGAGGAAAGAGCTCAACAGGCCTACGAACCCAATGTTCTTTTGAAGCCAAGCGCGTTGATTGCGCGTGTATTGGAACTTGAAACGCGACCTTCGGAAGGTCGCGCGAGATTGCAATTGACGCAATTGCGTGCAATCTCAAAGTTAGTGACTTGGTGTCTTGGTCAGTGTTTCAGCGGGGGGAACGATAAGATTGGAAATACGACCACTGGGGGACATTTTACCGAGTTAAATATAGATCACGAATTATTGTTATCCTAGCTTTTGGTATCTTATGTTACGCTTTATTCCCCGATTTTATTGACATACACGAATGCCTTATCATCCATCAGACGCCACAAATATCGTGCGCTATCTACAATAGCTTTTTAATTTTATATTTTGTCAAATCATTGGTGATCTAGTCGCACCTTACCGGCAATTTGAATCATTACAGAATATAAATAAGCATCTTAGAATTCAGAGGAAATGGCTTTTGTAAATTAAAAGAAATCTGTCGTATAAAGGCAAGTTTTTAAATTAGGCTGTCAATGAATTCAGCTGGTCTGAATATATTTTTTTTGCTATATCGCTTTAATATGAAATGTGAAATAGAAAATAGAATACACCCACTTTAGAAAAATCTCGTCTGTAATAAAAATTGGATAAGTTTACAGTTTTAGTACTGTTTACATTCCTTTTTCTGTTTGTTGCGTAATAACACGCGCGTCCGATCGAATCCATAATCCTTTTTTGTCAAATAAAAGTCTTTGATCACAGTTTCCGCTGGGTAAACTATTCTATTCGGTCCATGAACGCGACGACCCGCTTCGATCAAAGCACACCGTATATTTCTCTACTATTCAAATTTCATGCAAGCAGCACTTGAACCCCTTGTGCCTATACGTCTGCTACTGTGTAGCATGACATATGTATGTAGCCTGAAGCATAGCTGACGATCTGTTCAATTCAATTCAGCCCCGCGCTCGACGCGCAACGCAAATCATCTTTGTAAAATGTCAAGGCCAACTAGGCACGCGGGTGCGAAGACATTTCCATAAGCAAACAAGTTTAATATAATGGCAACTGGCAGCTGAATAATATCTTGATCAGAATTAAATCCGCCCGCGGCTCTATGAGGCAATACTCTAACGTAAACCTCCTCCACAATTTACGCATTTCGTACTCCCATTTTGAGAGTGTAACCCTTGTTTAGCTTGCTGTATTGGTCGATTTGACGGTATTTTGTCTCGTCAGTACGCAATGAACAAAAGAATGCTTTTCTTTGTTTGTTTTTTGCTTTCTCAGATTTTTATTTTTTTTAATTATTATTTTTTTTTTGCACAAACTGATCAACCAAACAAATTCGTCGTCGGATGGGAGTGGATCATGAATTTTCGCTGGATATGATTGATCAAGTATAGTTTTTGTTTAGTCCTCTTTGAGATTTATCACGTTACTTTTTTAAATAAAAAAAATTATAATAAATGATAAATTCCATTCCCCTGCTGAGCTAAACAAAGCGAAACTGTGCGAAAATTTTGTTGTATTCATTGTTTAGCTTTTAAAAAAACTGCTCCCACCCCTCCCTGCTAAGTGTTGATCCTGGTGAAGAATAGAACAAGACTTAATTACATTCTGTTTTATTACCCTCATACATAGCTATAGGTTCTTTGGTGAACATTATTGTTTCGTTGAAAACTTGTCAAAGATTCTCAATATTTCTTGCATTAGTTCCACGCACAGCTACCGTTTCGGATAAAAATGATATACAAAACTCAATATTCCAAAATAGAAGATAAGACTTCCATGTTGTGTAAGGCCACGACGCCTACTTGGTTCATAAAATAAAAGAGGATGGTTACTTAAATCTTACTTAAATAATTTTTTTTATGACTTGCAGTTATTTCATACGCCAACATTTAATTTTCTTTATTCAAGTTTATCCACTAAGCTTCATTCCGATGCGTAGAAATTGTAGGAGGCCGTGCCTTTTGTATCTTGAAAACCCTTTTCTTTATATTGCTCGATTGTGGCTCCAGCTGCCACGCGTCAAAAGCCTTTATCGTTTCAAATCCGCTTTGTATATCCATACATCTATTATTCAAATAAGAGAACTTTGTCCTCTATGTGGTTGTTATGAAATCGTCTTGACAAGAATTTTCAGTTCACTAATAAAGCCACGTGTTTGTGCAAGCTGCCGCTATGGTGCTTCTCACACTTGCAGTTTTCGTCGGCTTCCGGCGTAGAAAAATTCATGAAAGAGGGTGTGAAAGTGTTCTTTTCTCCTTAGTGCTTTCTTAGGTACCAGTTTCCAACTGAATTGTTAAGCCACCTGGATTTCTATGGTCAAGACCAACTGAACAAGTGAAACAGTGGGAGGGACAAAAATTAGCAATTAGCAAGTCGTATTGTGAAATAAGTGTATATGTCTGCAGGTACTTTCCGCCTGAGAGTGCCTTCAAACAACAAAAGTCGATTTAGCCCCCTTTTGCAATTTTTTTAAATAACCAAATACCGTTTCTTTCATTTGTTTAACAACCGTTCCCGTACCTTTGGCTTATGTGGTTTCGCAGTGCAGTGCTAGTATTCGAGTTATGATAATTTATTGCTATTTGATTCCTGCCCTCTTAATCTTTCTTTTATTTCGACGGGTATTGTGTGGGACTCTTTCTTCACTGAGAGACAAACCTTACAATGACTTGAAAGGTACCTTGGCTTGCAACTCACTGTTATCATTAGTTGACAATGAATCTTGTTCTCTTGAGCTTTCACGACACACTAGCCACTTGGTTGTTTAAAACTCAAATGGTACCGGCGTTATAAAGCA